GGGGGGGGGAAAGAGGGGGGGGGGAAAAAAGGGGAAGAGGGGACCAAGAATGAAGCTTTCCCTCGCCCATAGATAGCAATTACGTTCTCTCGATGACATTGCTTTTACAAGCGAGTTTGAGTTGTGGGCTATCGGTAAATTTCATTTAAAAAATATTGATTGAATTTAATGTCTCGACTGCACTCTTATCTGACTATCTGTAACTTTATTTAAATAAAAAAATTTGAATTCGATCTCACTCTGTGTCGTCATGGCATAAAAAGTGCCAACGGACGCCAATTATTGATAGTTACAACGAGCCCTTCTGGTTACGCTATCGTGATCATGGTTGCATTAAACCTTCTTTCATGGGATGTTCTTTTGTTGCACCATCACGAGGTTAACCACCGTTTCATTAGCTGCGATGACCATGGAATGATCATTAAATGGATTTTTTCTCTCTTGGGCAGGTGAGAACCCTGCTCCGATGCAGCAAAAGGGCGGAGGCGGGACATTATGGGAGAGAAAGACTCTCTTCGGACTTCTAACTTACATCTTCGTCTTCAGTGTCATCCGGTGATTCTCCCTCGAGGACCAATAAATAAAAACGAGAGAGAAAACAAGAGACCACAAGGGACTTTTCGGACGCTGTTCTACATATCTCCTTTTTATTCGTGCGATGAAGGGCGTGGTTGAGACCTCCGTCGGCAATGAATGGACCAGAGGGAATAAAAGGAAAAATCTTTTTGCTATTTTCGGTTTTTTTTTTTTTCTTCTGCCACTCTCACTCTCTTTTTTTCCTTCTTTCTTTTGATCTGGGGATTGAAGAAACGCGATCCTTTTCCCTCTCACGCTTGTCTTACCCCATCTCCGTCCGAGATTCCCGCTCGACCATCCCCTTTATTTACCCCCTCTTCCCTCGAAAGGCCCATTCAAGTTCAGCAGACCTTGAGCGGGACCCCGGCGATCGGAGCGGACGACGACGGATCCCCGGGAGGAACGCCTGGATGCAGATGCACAGATGAAACCCAATCACGATCCATACATCGGTCAATGGCCCACTAACTAACCTCCCTTATTTGTTCCCCTTTCGTTCCCCTGGGCCTGATAGCGTTAGAGATCATGCAGAATCCAAGCCCTTTTTTATGTTCCTGAATATTTCATGAGGAACATCATGGCGTTCCATTGTGTCGGATTCGAGTCTCTGTTAGAGATAGTGGACATTTGGGGGGCGACTCCCCATTTAAAAGGCTGTCGAGATAAAAGAGGACATTTGGCAACCCGTCCTTTTCTCTTCCTCTGTCCTCCTGAAAGAAATATTGAGATGCTCTACACTATGGTGAAGGCACATTTCTCCTCGTAGTTCCCTTTCCAGAAAATGGTGGTTCGGTCGAAGACAAAAAAAGGATGCGGGAAGAAGAGAAAAGGATATTATTCCCAATCAAAAGGAATCTGATATAGGGCTGGGATTCTTTTAATCAAATGACTCGGATCCGTGGAGATGCTTCCTTCTGCCCTCTTCCATTCCCCCCCGTTTCCTGCTTGGCTTCTTGCCCTGGGACGTTGAAAAGGGGAAACGGCAGTTCAGGAGTTCCATCACTTCCCTCGCGATGAGGGAATTACGAGCTTCCAACGACGGCTCCATCTCGGCACTAATGTTTTCTACATTTTTCCCTCTTCTTAGCGATTTATGATTTCGTGATTGTCTGAAGCGGAAAGACACAATGACAAAGTCCTAAATTTGCTACTCATGCCTTAAAACTTCATCTAACATGGGTCTGTGAATCCCTTCATTTACATGGCAAAATGAACTCCTTTGGCAGAGTCTCCGGTTCACTCAAGATATTTCCGATTTTAGCTGAAATCCCTCTATTGGCAGAGCCCAAATTAATCTTCACCGGATCTCAGCGAAAACCCAAGTATTGTTAATCCTACCAAAGGGTAATGAACATTTTTAACAATGATTCAATGGATGTGAAAAATTTTGGCATGAAATATGAAAATGTACGGTAAAAGGAAAATGGATATTTGAGCATAGCGCTCCTGAACCAGGTAGTTCAGACACGATTCTAGTGAAGCATTTCAATAGGTGACTCGTTTCAAACCCCCATCCATAATGGGGAGACAGCTTCAATGTTGATGTTCTCAATGAAATGGTATGGAACTCATGATGTTCAAGGTTAAGGCAACTTGCAGAAGACGAAGAAGCTTCGATGCGAAGGAATAACTCACTGTCATCTTCGGGTGAAAATTTGAAGTGTTGGGTTGCCTATAACCACCGCTAGGTGACGGAAACGAGGAATCAACGATGGCGCCCTCCAGCTCCCCTCAACAGGAGTGGAGTGGCCTTCCTTTCGTTGTTCTTATAAAGATATTCTCGTTTTTATCGGTGGAAGAACGGAAAACTGCGACACTGACGTGTAAGGCATGGCGGGAGATGTTCTTTCACCCTATGTGCTGGAGGGGGGCTATCCTTCGATTGAAGCACACACCGTCGTTGTCATCTGTCTTGGATCGCTTAGCTCATCTGCCCAAAGATGTTGTATTGCAAGTCACCACCAGTGGATCCCTTCCATCCGCTTTTTTAAGGGAACTTTCAAAGAACAACATGTTGGAATCTCTTGTCTTCACTCCGGAGGGTGAAACTCAACATGAAGAAGAGGAAAGCAAGACTAGGCCTAGGCCTCCCAGCCTACCTCAGCTAGACAATCCAGGCGATGAGTCATCTTCTGATGGGAAAGATCACCAGGAAGATGGTGAATCATTGAGAAATGGCAAATTGGCCAGAATTTCCAAGAGGAAAGTGGAACCAGAGTCAATAAAGAATTTGAATAGTGCAGACAATGAGAAGAAACCCAAGAGACTTCGCTCAAAAAACAAATTGGCTGAAGAACTTTTTGATGAGGAAGAAGATGGCCTTGAGCAAAATCAACAAGTTCAAAACTCTGTCAATAGGCAGCTGTGCCCTAATCCATGGATATCTCATCTCAGGAGCCCAGGCTTTGATAGTGCCAAGAAAAGAGAATCTGAAGGAGAAACGAGTGGGTCTTTGGACCACAGGTCAGTCAAGAGTGATGAGGGAAACCTCAAGTCAGGCCAAAATTGTGTCACACTTCATAAAACTGCCATGCAGTCTCAGAATGTCAGGTATGGATGTCAAGTTCATCAAGTGGCATAATTAGTTAGAGCCTGTTTATTCAATGTCGATGTCACCTGGTTATTATTTTAACCATTTCTGGATGGGTAGAGTGAAATGTCAGATAGCATATGGAGACTAGTAAGCCCACTCAATCTTTTCACAAGATTTGTTGTCCCTCCAGGCTGATGAAGGATATCATTCAAGCCAGCAAACACTTGAAGAAGCTGGACCTAGGAGGAATAAATGAGTTCATGGCCTATGCAGATGAGCTGTTTGATGGATTCTGTGATCAAGTTCCAGCTTTGCAAGTACTTCATTTCTTCCGACACAGTGGGGAAGCCCAACCACCTCTTGCATCCCACCTTTCACCCTCCCTTCTATCACTTTCTCACCTTCAAGTAGGTCATAATCACTCTCTTGAAAAAATTTCTCAAATTCAAAGCTGTGGTTCCAATAGGCCTAGGGTTACTGGTACTGGTACTGCTGGCATAGATACTGAACTGAATCAATTCTAATTCTGCTTACAATATTATGAGCAAAAAGAGGGCTCCTTGGATCTTGTGAATATGTAAGATTAGATGAAGTGTAGTCATCATTTGGACAACTTGGAGAGCAATGAACCAATCAACCTCAGGGAGTGGGAATGGGGGGTGGGAAAGTACAGCTCTGAGTATAAGTCTTTCCTAGTTTGGGGATTGATAGAATTATAGGAATGATGACAGCAGCCTTGATCCAGTTGAACCACAGTCTGATGTCACATGCTATTATTAGAAACTTTTCTTAGGTCAACTAATAGAGCAGGTGTTTTATTCATCAGAAGACATGTAGCTTGGTCACAATGTCTGATTGCCATTGTTAGTGTGGAAAAATGGTTTACATTAACCTGCTTTAGATTTGTGAATTTTCAATCCACCAAGATGGTATGAATAGGGAAAGTTGAGGTTCCTATTTCATCAAATTGTGTAAAAGTCTCCCTAAATTTTGTTGCAGTTCACAATGTGCACTCTCATCAAAAACGTTTTTTTATGAGTCCCAGGGGGTCAAATCAATTGGAACATTCATACTCAATTGGTAAATCTTACATGCAAATTTTGCTTTCTTTGACTTGGTGCTTGCTGGATGCATTGTTGCAAATCTGAAGGCACCAATGTTTTTATACACTAAATGACTGCAGCAACACAGGACTCAAAACTTTCCTTTCCAAAATGTAACTATTAGACTATTCATTGAGAAGCAAAACTCTGCTAAGGCAATGAAAGTACTCTATTTACCAATATGTTAGGTGAGCATAGGGTTTGATTTCATGAGTTTGAGAATCATGAATCAATTTCTCTTAATTTAATGTTTTTACCTCATCAGCCCCAACTGGCAAATGTACTGGCCAAATCCATTGTCTTTTATTAGCCATGTGTCTGAAGAGATTATAAGGTCTACCGGAAAGTTCTGTCCGTTTCTGGCACCTCTTAATTTAAGCGGCAGGCAGGCATGTTATAAAGGGTCTGTAACCCCTACTTGATACTAGTTTTTTCTACTGTACTTGCACTATCATATACACAAGTGAGCCCATTTTATCATTGGTTGTTCAACAACAACAGTGCCAAAAACATGTCTGTTGACAAAGTTCATTTGTGTCATTGCATTCTTTATGAGTATCAACAAGGGAAGAATGCTGCTGAAGTCAGTAGAAACTTATGTATTTATGTAACTTATGAAACTTATGTAACATTTTATAGAAAAGGGATTGAAAAGCTACCTTTAAGATGGCAAGAGGTTGTTAATAACCAGGGTAATTATGTTGTTCAATAAGTTCTAATAAACTCTTGAAAAAGTGATTGTGTTCTATTATTCAAAAAACGGACAGAACTTTCCGGTAGACCTTATATATTAGAGTAGATGTATTATTCTCTGCCTAAAGCAGGATAGTAAGAGTGACAGGCTTCTTGCAGGTATTGACACTAAATGTGGAGCACGTGACAGCTGAGCTGGTGAGGGGTCTTGCCAAAGAGAATCATGTGTCAATGACATCCTTCAACATCATTGTCAGTCATCGGCCTAAGAATCTGCATCCTGTTGCTGATGACATTTGGCTTGCTTTTTCTCAACACAGGTTCTTTTTCTTACTCAGTACATCATTCCTCAGAGCAATATCATACATAAATCTGAGACTAATATGAATATTTTATTTTTCAGTCCATCATGCGAGATGTCCCTGAATCTGATTGAGTGTCCTGAAATGGTCCTTGTGTTATCTGCCTTTCTGAAGCCCTCCATGCCTCTTGCCCACTTCCGACAATTCTTCTGCTCCTTGGTAAGTCATCTTTCTTCTGCATGGTGCCTATGGTTTGCAGTGAACAAGATTTCTGTAAAACCATATGTAGTCTCTAAATACGCAAATCCAAGAGCTTTAGTTATGATTGTTTTTACATGTCCATCCATGAAGAGAGTTTTGCCATGCTTACAGTTATTCTGACATGACCATGAATTCAAATGATGGTTGTAGATCAGTCCTGAATCACTGATCCTATTGGTGGAATACTATCGAAGTAAGCTGAAGAGTCTGCATTTGGTGGATCAGGTGAATCGGTCCCGCGACACATTCACTTCATCTACCATCATCCCTGACCTCCTCATCACCATGGGCTGGAAGTGCTCCATTCTCTCTGAGATCGTCCTTGTTGGTATGGGCATCCTTTCCCTAATCATGTAGTGGGATCATGATATGACTTCCTTTTGGGGCTTGACATTCTTGCTCTGGGACCTGAACACATACCAATTGTAGGGATTGCATACTTTTGTTATATTTGCTGTTTCATCTTATCTAGAAGCAGTAGGAGGCTATTTTCATGTAAAATATCAAGAAGCATATTTTAAATCTTCATACACTGTTGGATTTGATATGATATCCAAAAAGTATCACCTTACTTTCTCTGACTGATATTTGTACATTTGAAACTTGGAACACCTACTCACTGATCAAACTTGATGCAAAATTAGTCACTTTTGTGTTTGACATTTCACATGAGCTTTTCATTTTCTGGCCTGAGTGCTGAAAGATTTTCATCTCATGATGCCATTTCCTTTGTAAAGTGTCATTGAAGGAAGGTTGAGCTTAACCTCATAAATTTCTGTCCTTGTTGTATAGGGTATGAATATGTGGGAGAAGATCTGGTGGGGTTGTCCCGGTTGAGAGGAAAAGGTTTACAGAGTCTCATCCTTCCTCGCCGCTCCATCTTGACTTCCAGTCGAGGACATTTTTCCTGGGTTCTTGAGGTCACCCCTCTTCTTTTGCTCATCCTCCTTTGACTTAGCTATAATTTGAATTCAATTTGTAGAAGCCAAGTTAGGATAAACTCTTTCATGCTGGTTGAGATGATCTGATATCTCTTTTCCCTGTTTTTTCTTCCTTCCATCATTCAAAGATGGAATTTATCTGAATATTTTGTATTAAAAGTACAGGGATGGATGTAAAGCTCAACCTGTTTTTTCCCTTAATTTTTTTGCTCTGGCTTTGATACCACAAACTCTCTAATGTAACTCTCAGAATGTAACTTCAGGCACTTTATCTTTACTCAAGGTAAGCATTTAATATCTTCAATGAGTAACACAAGGGTGCAGATACGAGGGTCCTGACAAAAGTTCGTGCAGTCGACCAGAAGCCTTCATCGGAGGAGGACGGAAGCATTTTTTTCTTATTCCTGGTAGTCTTAAACCTAATCCCACCAATTTTCACTTTTCAGACCACCCATGGAGACCCGTAATAAAAGAACGCGTGAAGCCAGTGAGGGCGATTTTGTGACTGTGACAAATGAACAGTTCCGGATGTGTTTTTTGTACGACACTAATCCCACCAATTTTCACTTTTCAGACCACCCATGGAGACCCGTAATAAAAGAACGCGTGAAGCCAGTGAGGGCGATTTTGTGACTGTGACAAATGAGCAGTTCCGGATGTGCTTTTTGTACGACTTCCGGTGCGGGTTAAATGCGACCGCGTCTCATGAGCGACTGAAAAAAGGGTTTGGGGACCAAGCTCCATCCTACCGCATGGTTGCCAAGTGGTTCCAGCGGTTCTCGACAGGAAACTTCAGCCTCCAGGATGATCCACGTGAGGGGCGCCCAAAAACGGCGACCAACGACGAGAATGTGGCCGCCGTGAAGGCGGCTGTTGATGAAGATGGCCGAGTTACACTGGAGGAGCTCGAGGAAACTCTGGGATTGAATGCCAGGTCGATTGCGAGGATCCTGACTGAAAAGCTTGGCTACAGCAAGAAATCTGCAAGATGGGTACCTCATCTCCTCAGCCAGGAGCAAAAGGACGTCAGGGTGAAGTTTGCCAATTTCATGCTGAAAAAATTCAATGGTGGCGAATCTTCGACTTTCAAATTGATTGTGACTGGTGACGAAACGTGGTTCTACAACTCAGACCCTGAGACGAAGCGCCAGTCAATGGTCTGGTCTCTTAAAGGGGCACCTCCGCCTCTGAAAGTGAAACGTGTCAGATCGGTTGGTCGCACCATGTTCGCGATTTTTTTTTCCTGGTCGGGAATTGTTGCTTCTGTTCCTCTGGAAGAGCGTAAAACGGTGACATCTGACTGGTATGTGACGAAGTGCTTGCCTGAGGTTTTTGAAAAAATCCTCAGAGGTCGCCCCAAGAAGGAATTGCGCCGGTACTTTCTGCACCATGACAACGCGCCCGCCCACACTGCCAGGCAGACTGTGGATTTCATTGCTGATTCTGGGATTGATCTCTTGACCCCTCCCCCTTATTCCCCTGATCTGGCGCCATGTGATTTCTGGTTGTTCCCAAAAATCAAGGAGGGACTTCGTGGAAAAGTTTTTCAGACAAGGGAAGAGCTCACTTCCGCTGTGAATGAGCAGCTGGAAAAGCTTGAAAAGGCGGATTTTGAGAAATGTTTCAAGCGTTGGATTCACCGTCTTGAAAAGTGCAAGGAAATCGGTGGGGAATATGTTGAACAGACCTGAAACATGTCGTCTTGTGCTGGAAGAGGGAAATTTCGAATAAAGTGCTACTTTTAAAATGTTTCAAGCGTTGGATTCACAGTCTTGAAAAGTGCAAGGAAATCGGTGGGGAATATGTTGAACAGACCTGAAACATGTCGTCTTGTGCTGGAAGAGGGAAATTTCGAATAAAGTGCTACTTTTGATTCGAAATTTTGACGTCTTTTGAATTATTGCATGAACTTTTGTCAGGACCCTCGTATATGGCTAGATCACAATAGCATGTGGTCATAGAGCTGTTTACATTTGCAACGACGAATCTGCTTCATTAACCGCAGTACGAAGAGCAGCTCAATCATAATCACACATTCAATAACAATGTCGCCCTAATCGAAACGTGTCTCACACTTATGTACTTGAGATGCAAATAGGGACTCATTCCGTTCGATATTGAAATTTCCCCATAATACACGGGATTTAACCGTAATCGTTATCAATCACAATGCCGCCCTAATCCACATGCGTCAGACAGACCATGTTGATGTGCATGAGATGCAACAAATTACTTGCTTGTTTAAATACCAATCTCTGTAAGCCAAGTTAAAAGCTGGTACGTTTCCCCACTCTCCCCTAGGAAAATATAAGATTTTACTCCGAAGAAGTGTTAATACGTTACCAAGAGCGATTAAGCCTCGGCATAGCATATTCACAGGTGAAAAGTCCAATTATTAATCTCTACTTTAAATTCCCATCTCTTCACCGCCAGGAGTAAACAGGTCCCACCTTCCTAAGCATGGGAAGTTAAACTCTTGCTTCTACAGCTAATCTATCAGGTCATCCCATAAGTAATGTTTTTTTTTGGCATAGCCTTACTTGTGTCTCTTTTGTACATGTATCTGCGAACATCCCTCGTAGAAAGGTGGCATAGAGTCAGAGAACGAAGGGGAATATATACTTGATTGAAATTTGATGCGATGCAGGTGGTTCTTTTTTCTCTTTTTCAAAATTAAAAAAGACTACTTATGGGATGACCTGATACTTGAGAACATAGTAAGGAAAATATCATCCAAAGAAAAAACCTGTCTACAGGATCCTTCAAGAGAAGCTTACGCTCTCACATCAAGTAAACTTAATCGAACATAAGAGTCCAAGTTATTGCAGGATGCAGGTCGTCAGTACAGACGAATCCTTTATGCAGTCATTTCAAATTCTTATTGTTAGTACAGCAGCAGCATTACCTGTCCCAGGACCAGCAGGAGCACCAACAGCTCCTAGAGCACTAACCACAGGACTAACAATCTCAGAGGTAATAGGCAATAGTGCACCAGCTGCTCCAGTAGCAAGGGGAGATGTGCATCGCGCAAGTAGCCCTTCAGTTACAATTTTGACAAACTCGTCATTAACATCTAAATTTTCACATGAAGGTGTGAACTAAAACAACCCAACACAAAGGTAGGAATGGTACTGGCATGACTATCGAGATATAGAATAGCGTAAGTGTCTGGTGCCGTAGGTACGCATCGCACGAAGGGGAAGAAGCAATGGAATTCGTATTACATGTGGAGTCCTCCTCGAGCCCCGCAGGGAATGGCGTAATGAATACGGAGAGAAGAACCTCCTCCCTCATATGCATACGTACGCTAGGACATACCACTTTCCCTGAGCAGTCCCTCGGCAGTGGGTCGCCGAGAGCCAAAGTGAGTGGACGCACTCACGGCACGCGAGAAGCCGTGCCGAGCCTTCACGCAGCTGCCGCACAGGACCGTGCGGACTATTAGAGGAACTGCGGTGACGGTGGTCCTCCACCGGACAACTGGGACGCACGAGGACGACCCTGAGGCTCCCTCATCAGCGTGAGGCTGTTATTTGCACGGACTATTAGAGGAACTGTGGTGACGGTGGTCCTCCACCGGACAACTGGGACGCACGAGGACGACCCTGAGGCTCCCTCATCAGCGTGAGGCTGTTATTTGCCACTAACCCCATTCACTTATCCCTGTTGTCTTCTTGTATAATAAATTGTGCGTAGTGTTCAATTACGCACCCTTTTATATAAACCCGGAGTCCTGAGTAATTTAAAGGAGTCTTCACCTTGGAGTCAACGATAACTATTGGACGGACTTCCTGCTACCGATCATAGGTCTCTCTTACGAACCTCTCCGAACATCGCAACCTTCGCAGATAACATCTCCAGATACTTTTCCTGATAACTCTCTGTAGCGGGGGGGGTCACCCCCAGAGGACCATCAGTACTACATACAATCCCAATATAACTAAGAGCACTGATGGAATGGAGTGGTGCGAAAATTCTATCCAACCATGTTTCAACTTATTTCCTTAATAAATTGAACTTTCGTACCGCTAGCAATTTATAAAGCAATTCCCGACCATGAATATAATATAAAGTTTTCAAGATTAGAGGAAAACCAATGTCCAGCCTAAATATTAACACAATCAGTTCCGTTTAATTCGCCCAAGGGAACCGTATTTCTCTCTCCTCTAAATGACATGTAATGCCTATCTAAAAGTGTGACATGACCACACGGCTTGCCATGAATCTACCTTTCTACGATCGACTTGTACCACTACAAATGTTCAATATTCACTTAGACCTTAGGCACATGCCTAACCTATCGCAGGTGCACCACGGCTAGGCTACGTTTCCCATGCCTTCAGCCGTAATTTCCTGAAACTCCGCTATCCGAGACAGTTACGCGCTTTATTTAAACTTTCATGTTTCAGTTTCCTTGGGCCAATCGCACACAGAGCAATCGATGGAGCGACCAATTACCAAGGATCCATCGTCTGCCGTCAACATGGCGACATCTGAATGCGCGCTTGCTTTGGTTCCCTTTCAATTCTAAAACGGCAGAAGCAGGTGAACACAAGAAATAGGTGGGAAAGACCATGGATTGCAATGAGGGAACCGAAAGGACACTTCCACTCCCAGATGAAGGACCTTGTCGCAAATTTCCCATCATTTCAAACTGGATAATAATGAATTTCGAGAACTACCTTACTCCTATAGAATTTCCCTTTCTAGCATGGCTTTAATGAGAGTCTCGTCATCAACGTGCCACAGCTTCTTTTTCATGGACACGTGCTTACAATACCTTTAAAAAATTCAAGGATGCTACCGTATGGAGATGTTAGGTTGCAATGTAATTGGCCATTACATTGTCCAGGCAATCACCGAAAATTTTTTTATTCTCCACTTTCACCGCACTTGGAATATTAGTCCGTCAGAGTATAGTAGTTATCATAATCAAGTAATCATAATCAATTACAATGCCGCCACAATCGAATCATTTCTGATAAGTACCACACTAGAGTGTGGCTGGGCAT